CTGTGTTCAAGTTTGTCTTTTCTAGTCTTGTAAATAGCAATTTTTGCTTGTCCTCAAAAAATTCAGCAGTTGACACTTAACTCGATGTCTCCGAATATACTTAAAATCACAAATAAAAATTTCCTCAGAAAAGATTTCCTCAAAACAGACAAACAAATTTGGAAGGACAATAAACAGGCATTCTAATCTCCCACATTGTAAAAAAGCAGACATAGAGAAAGAGAGAGAAAGAGAGATATACACATGCAGAATTACTCCACCAATAGCTGGTGTGTGGTGAGCGCACTGGCGCTGTTATCCTGTGGCTGCCGTCGCATCATCTAAGTGGATGCTGTACACTGGTGGTGGTGTGGACAGACCTCCTTACGATTGTGAAGTGCTTTGGGTGTAAGGCAATGCATCATAAATATACACTCACAGGCCACTTTATTATGTACACCTGTCCAACTCAGGGTTCCCGCGGGTCCCTAAAAAGTCGTGAAATGTCTTAAATTTTACCGTAAAGTGGCTGTAGGTTTCAAATTTTCAGCCGGTCTGCTTTATGACGATAGGGAAGCACAGTGGTCCACCGTAAACATCTAATAGTTGATTAATTCAGTATGTGAAACAGGAGAGAAATGACAGTCTTCATGATTTATTAGCTTATCACGGTAGGTCCCCTACAAAGTACAGACGCTGACGCCGGTCTGCACCTGCATGCTGTCATTACGCGGTTGTTGATGTGAGGTTCAAAATGCAAAGAAAATGTAAATTTAACGACGTGGCAAAGAGGCAATGTGTAAATTCTGCAAAAAGAACTTTTCGTTAGGGACCATGGGGCTCAAAGTCGTCGAGTATCACATGAAAGGAGGAAAGCAGCAGCTGGACGTTGCAGCAGCTAGTCATAGCGGGTCCAGGTTAATCCTTACATTGTTTGCAGCTCGACCTAACAATGTTACTAGTTCAGACTAAAGCTGAAGATCTTTGTTGGGTTCGAACTTTTCTATCATTTTAGACGGGGTTGTGCCAGGCTTGGGCTTGCCCAGTAAATGAACAGTCATGTGATGCATTTTGATTAGCGCGAGGAAGTAATCAAATTGTTTGTTACAACATTGAAATCCATCCCTGCAAAGGTGAATCAAATGATGACAGAGATGTCAAAAAGAGCTAATTATGTCAGCGGTCAGGCCAGCCAACAGTTTTATTCGAACAGTCATTCTAGCCGCTAAGGTATTTTGGCGGTCGCTCATACACTGCGTATTACGGTAGAGCACTAAGAAGCTGTGTCCAGCGAGCTGACAGGACATGACGAGGACACTCGCGGCATTGAAACTGCTGTCATGGAAAATGAAATGAATGTTCTTGACTGGTGGAAGATGAACTAACAATCCTACCCAAAACATGCTAAATTAGCCGGATCAGTAGTGCCTCCCGGCCAGTAGCAGCAGCAGAGAAAAGGTGTTCAGTGCTGCTCAGTGAGCGTAGGACTGCACTAAAGCTATTTAAAGTGGATTCAATAATGTTCCCCCACAAGACACATAACCTAATCTTGATGAGTAAAGAATTTCAAATTATAACTAAAATCATAATGTATGCAGAGTATACAGGCTAATGCTGGCATTATTCTTTTATTATTCAGCTTCACCATCGCCTTATTGTGAAGAGAAGTGGCAAAACAAATCCCACTGAGCCTTTATCTTAATTTCGTTATTGCCAAATATCCGTCATCATTTATCATTTATTTTAATTCATTTGCTAAGAAAGACTTCTTTTTATTGGTGTGTTGGGCAATTTAAACGTTAAGTGTATGTACCCAGGCCTGTTTAGAGTGTTAAGATGTTAAGATGTTACAGGGGGCTTATTTTATTTTTTTTGTTCCAACTTGGCCTGTAGCCTATGTTAAGGATAAGTAATGTTAACACATATAAACAACTTATTCATGAAAAAAGACAAAAGATCTGTGCATGTGCACATTTGGATAATGTCGGGCTATAAACGCGTTCGGGCTTTTAAAAAGCTGTCAATCAAAATGTACCTGTCGGGTTCGGGCTCTATCGGGCCTGCCTTTCATAGCCTGATTACAGCTCTAGTTCAGACGCCCCCTCACAGTCAGCTATAACAGTCTCATTCCACCACCAGACACCCAAAAGGCAGGTACTGCGGGTTATCCATACTGTGACGAGGCACAATTTATTTTAATCTAACGAAAACATTAAAATGAGTAGCCTATTCCAAAGAAATTATATAATTTTTGGGTCTGAAATTATATTTGTTGAGGTCTTAAAAAGGTCTTAAAAAGCATTAAATTTTACTTTTAAAATGGTGGAAGAACCCTGCAACTGCTCATTAATGTTCAATTTCTGTTCAGACAATCACATGGCAGCAACTCAGTGTTTTTAGGCATGTAGACATGGTCAAGACGATATGCTGCAGTTCAAACCGAGCATCATAATGGGGAAGAAAGGTGATTAAAGTGACTTTGAATGTGGCATGGTTGTTGGTGCCAGGCTGGTGTGAATATTTCAGAAACTGCTGATCTACTGGGTTTTTATTTCACAACCATCTCTAAGTTAATAAAGAATGGTCAGAAAAAGAGAAAATATCAAGTGAGCGGCAGGTCTTTGGGTGCAAATGCCTTGTTGATGCCAGAGGTCAGAGAAGAATGGCCAGACTAGTTCCAGCTAATAGAACGGCAACAGTAACCACTTGTTACAACCGAGGTATGGGATGAGCTACAGCAACAGCAGAAGACCACACCGGGTGCCACTCCTGTCAGCTAAAAACAGAAAACTGAGGCTACAATTCATACAGGCTTATCAAAATTGGACAATACAAGACTGGAAAAACATTGCCCCGTCTGATAAGTCTCAATTTCAGCTGCAACATTCGAATGGTAGGGTCAAAATTTGGCGTCAACAACATGAAAACATGGATCCATCCAGCCTTGTATCACTGGTTCAGGCTGCTCTGTACTGCCTGCACACACTGACCCTCTGCAATTTGCATACAGGAATAACCGCTCAACTGATGATGCAATTGCTTTCACCTTGCACACTGCTCTGTCTCACTTAGAAAACAGAGAACACACCCCCATCACCATCATATGGGATGCCAGTGGAGAGAGTCAGCACTTTCAAGTTTCTTGGAGTACACATCGCTGAGGATTTGACATGGACTGCTCACACAGACGCAGTGCTGAGGAAGGCACAACAACGCCTCTTCTTCTTCAGGCGTCTCAGGAGTTTTGGAATGATCCCCCACATCCTCCGCTCGTTGTACACATGCACTGTGGAGAGCATCCTGTCTGGCTGTATCACCACCTGGTACAAAAATAGCACCAGCAGCAATCGCAAAAGCCTACATAGGATTGTGCGAACTGCTGGAGGCGTAGCAGGAGGTGAGCTTCCCTCCCTCCAGGACATCTACCAGGCGGTGCATGAGGAAAGCCAAGAGAGTTATCAGTGACTCCAGCCACCCAAGCCATAGACCTTTCTCTCTGCAACCCTCAGGCAGACGGTTCTGCAGCATCCGGTCACGCACCAGCCGACTGAAGGAAAGCTTCTTTCCTCAGACTATCAGGCTGATGAACACTTAACACACCCAACAGACTCTTCCATACCCCTCACTGAACACCATCAATATGTAGCATGCACTGCACTTTAATCAATCCACACTTGAAACAATACTGCCTACAACTATGTGGATGCCTATTCATTGTACATATCGCTGTCAATTTCACATTGTCGCTGTATTTGCACTGTGTATTTTGTACTGTCTGGAGCCAGCACCTAAGCTTTTCACTCATCATAGCACACGTGCTGCTGCTGATGTGACAAAAAAAGTGATTTGATTTGATTTGGTGGTGGTGTAATGCTGTGGGAGATATTTTCATGGCTCACTTTGGGTTCATTAGTATCAATTGAGCATTGTGTCAACACCACAGTCTACCTGAGTATTGTTGCTGACCATGTCCTTCCCTTTATGACCACAGTGTACTTATTTTCTGATGGCTACTTCAAGCAGGATAAAGCACCATGTCATAAAGCGCGAATCATCTAAGACTGGTTTCTTGAACATGACAATGAGTTCACTGTACTTAAATGGCCTCCACAGTCACCAGCTTTCAATCCAATAGAGCACCTTTGGGATGTTGTCGAACAGGAGATTTACATCATGGATTGGCAGCCAATAAATCTGCCGCAACTGCGTGATGCTGTCATATCAATATGGACCCAAATCTCTAAGGAATATTTCCAGTCCCTTGTTGAATCTATGCCATAAAGTATTAGGGCAGTTCTAAATGCATTCTGAGTCCAACCTGGTACTAGTAAGGTTTACCTATTAAAGTGGCCGGTGAGCACTTAAAGGAAAAAACAGTTCTGCCAAAAAAAAACCATTCCTCATTATTTACTCAAGTAGCTCATTTATTTTAGTTTCTTTCTTTTGTTAAACCACAAATATTATATTTTGAAGACAACTGGAAACCTGTAACCATTGACTTCTACAGTATTGTTTTTCCTACTATGGAGGTCAGTGGTTACAGGTTTCCAGCTTTCTTCAAAATATCTTTTTTTTATGTTCAACAGAAGAAAGAAAACCGTAAAGTTTTGGAATCGCTCGAATGTGCGTAAATTTTCATTTTGTAGTGAACTATCTCTATAAGGAGCTTTCAAAGCTGATTTTCAGATTTCAGAAAATAATACCCTCTCTGAATGTAGCTATTAAAGAGACAGCATCCTTGAATTATTTGTTTCAGTCACTTTGAGAAAAGATTCAGAATCTGTTGCAAATGGGTGTAAATCATTTGACTTCCAAAACAAAATGAAGGAACTTTAATATAACTTTGTGTTTAAAAAAAGCGCACAGACTGACTAAACGTAAGTGTAGGGGAAGTAGCTTTGTATTAAAGTCTCTGCCTGTGTATAATAAATATAAATGTGTATATATATATATATATATTTTTATCCTAGACTCACATGGCCTTGCATGCATGTTTGAGGCCTTATAAATGCACCAGCTGCAGTTTTGCCTCTAAAAACATGAAAGACCTGCGACACCACATGATGACACACACCAACGAGAAGCCTTACTCCTGCCAGGTGTGCGGCCAAAGGTGAGCAACTGAGAAAGAGTCGTTCAAATAAATTAGCAAATCTTAGAATTTGTGCTCTTTACACTATTAATACAAATAGATCCATAAATGCTTTCCCAGCTTGAAAAAATTGGCAGTTTACACACTCACAGGCCATCTAAGATGCGGAGGATTTTTTTAAATTAGATTTTTAGCTGAAACCGTAATAAATTGCCAGTTTAAACAACACAGAAACACCTTGGCCCTCATATTGAAACTCTCATAAATTGTTTTTAGGTTCAACCGTAACGGCCATCTGAAGTTCCACATGGAGAGGCTTCACACTCATGAGCCGTCTCTCCGTAAAGCTTCATTCACGACACCCGATCTTAACTAATTAAACTACAAACTCAAAACTACACAGGGGGCAAAACTCAAACTAATCCTAAAGAAAATCAATCTAAACTAAAACAAACCTTACAATAATGTCATAAGGTTCAGTTTAGAATCACACAACAACCATCAAAGCCTTTACTCAAACCCAGCAAAGTTTAACAAGTAAACTCGAATTACCACAGTGAATAATAAATAATAATAAAGATAATAGATCACCTAATAGCCTAAGCATGACAAAACTGCAAAAGTGTGGCACACAAAGGTATGCTGAGGCAGAGCGCACACCAAACACTGATCTGTAGCAGCTTTAAATCTCCGCGGCTCATCCGGGGATTGGTGGATCTGGCACCGTCAATGCAATGATGGACAGTTACCTGACTCAATAAAAAACCTAAGAGTGGAGTGAAAGGCTGAGAGAGAAGGGTGAGGAAAATAAATACACAAAACTAACCTCCAAAACAATATATAGCACACTTTGTTTACTTTGTTCATGTTGTAATTACTGTAATTCAAATGTGACATGATTTCTCATGGATACTTGAACTGTTTGTGTTTACTTAGCATTAACAGTAAAATCAATGCATGATGTATGTCTTAACTAAATCAGAAACTTTATTGTTTTTTTTCTGGAGGTTTTTGGTAGTTCTGGTAGTTTCTTAGTTTTTTAGAACAAGTTTTTGAAAATGCTACAGATTTAAATTAAAATGTTTTCTTTGTAGATTACATGGCATGTAAGTGTAGATTACAGATTACTTAACAATACAACAAAACTATAAACATCATATGTTTGCAGGCACATAGTGTATTTTATAAAGAGAAATTGCCAACTACTGGCCTGACATAAATAGTACAGCATTTTTCAGCCTTTTTCACAGACTCATCTGAATATGGACGACAGTTTTGACAAAGCTGTCCTGTATTCAGTACATTTTTAAAGACAAAAAGGAAAACAAATTCTGTTTGAAGTACATAATTTTTGTTTAAATGTTCCCTGATGTCAGTGTAAATCTCCTCTGTGTTGTGTGTCAGATTGCTCTGTCTCAGGATAGACACCATCGTCACCACCGAACAGCAGGTTGTGGTCCCTGAAGACCTGGAAGCAGTCGCTCATTCAGTGGTCACTGGTATGTCCTTTCACCTTTTACCTTCAATTAAAATGCAAAAAACAGAACTATTTTCTACAAGCTTTCATGGCTGCATGAGACTGTAAATAAATGACTTTGTGATATTTAGTTTTTCTGCGATGTTTGTATATTGTGATATGAATACCATTTAACCAGATGACTTAAATAGCTTTATTTAGAAAGAATTGTTCATTTTATCATGATTGGGATGTTTTGTTCATGAAGTGGAGTTTATCCACATCAAATATATTAAACAATTTAAAAGCATAGAAAAATACAAAAGCGCAAATATAAAAAATACAATTAAACGGCGCTTTATTGTTTTCTGGGGAGTCTAACAGAATTCGGCACCCAAAAAATGACTTTTCAGCTTGTTCAAATGACTTTAAAATGAGTTAAAACAGCACCACTTTTGGGGACAACTTAATTGTTTTATGTTTAATTCACTTAATTTTATAAGAATGATTACGTTAACTTGTTCTCTATTGGGACAACATGAAGGAATTGTGAGGAAACCAGCATTTTTTACAGTAAGGTACAGAAATTGATCAAACGTAAAATAACATCATACAAATGATTAAACACAAATGCTTCAAATCGCTTAAAATCCTAAAATATTTCACTCTTATTATGGTTAAATTTTGCTCTGTGTATGTGTGTGTGTAGCTGTTGCAGATGCAGCAATGACTCGGTTTACACTGAAGCCACACCTGAACAACTGGAACAACTGCAAGAGCAGGGCATCCAGTATGATGTCATCACTTTTATTGAGGAGTAGAAACACGACACACACAATATTTATGAACAACATCAACACACACACACACACACAGAGACAGACAGACAGAAGAATATTTGAAGCTTATCTCAGCTCCAAATGAGCATCACAAACTGCGCTGATCATAAGTAACACAAACTTCTTCCACAATCATCAGTCATTTATAAGGTGAATGTACAGTTAGATCCTCTCAAAATATGATTTATACCTTTGTAAATATTGAAAGAAATTTATCTTTGTGTTCCCACAATGTTTAGCCTTGTAAAGGAAAAAGAAATATGTATAGAGAATCCTGTATTTAAGAAGAATAATGGACATGTCTCTGTGGATGCTGCTTTAATGACAGTCTGTATATAACGGTAGGCTGGAGGATTGACGTCATATTGCTATGAAACAGTTCCTAGCTGTAGCTAAAATGCTTATAAAGAAGGTTTTGATCATTTGCAGTTATATCTTTAGCTTCTTCAGTTTTACAGATATGTCTTTCTTTAAACATGGCTACAGACAGGAACTGTAAATGCAAACCAAATAAATCAAATCCTCTTTATCTGATTCTAACACTGATTTTCTTGCATTAGTTGTGCTATAATATTGTACAATTCTGGTTTTACAAATCTGTTGTCTGCTGCATTTGATGTAATAATTTTTATACTCGTGTACATATTGATTTTTGTTTCTATTCAGTGCCTTATGCATGTATTTTAAGTTGCGTCTGAAAGTTCAGATCAGTTTTTTTTTATCTTTTGTTTGTTTTGTACATTCATTATCAAGAATCCATCAAACTTTCTATTTTTATAAATGATATTCAATTTTAAAGCTACTAAGACAAAGACATCTGAACTTCACTATTCAGCTAGGGTCATCTACAATTATACCTTTAATTCAGTCAGAAGTCTTGATGCTCAGCTGTCCTTCAGTGGTCACATAACCTGCATGATTGTGCAAGCTTTGTTTTCTTTACACAAAATTAGAAGGATCAGACACTTTGTAACAGAGCAGGCTGCGTAACCTTTTGTCCAAGCACTTGTGATTTGTATATTAGGCTACTGCAATGTTCTCCAGGCTGAACTTCCATCATCTGCTGTGAAACCTCTTTAGATGATCTAAAATGCTGCAGCTCGTCTGGTCTGAGCTCTATTTATCCCAATAGAGTCCTCTACACACATCAATATCACAGGAGGATTGAGCTGGTTTTCTTTCTTCTTATTCCACTGACGCATGGTGAGTTTGAGTGTTTTTTTCAGTTGTTTTTTGGATAATCATAGTGTAAATCCTGCCATTACATTGAAGCAACTTCTTGGATTGTGTGTGTTTATGTTTTGTAATGTAAAACCAGGGCTGTATTCTATTTCAGCTGCATTTAATTCATTATTCATACATTTAGTTAATAATAATACGACACATACAGTGATAATTTAATCAGCAATAGAATATGGGGTCTATTTTCTCCAGCTTTAGATGATTTTTTTTAATGCTCAGTAATAGTTTTTCAAGCTTGAATCCAACCAAAGGATTCAAATGTTTTGTTATTCAGGGAGAATTACTTTAACATTGCTTTAATCCATTCATAATCATCTTTGGTGGTTTTGAAGTATTTTGCTTTGCTGTAATCAGTGGAATGGCGACATGGTGGCTCAGTGGGTAGCACTTTCACCTCACAGCAGGTTCAATAAGGTCGCTGGTTCAAGCCCCCGGCTGGGTCAGTTGGCGTTTCTGTGTGGAGTTTGCATGTTCTCCCCGTGTTCATGTGGGTTTCCTCCGGGTGCTCCGGTTTCCCCCACAGTCAAAAGCAGTAGTGGCAGTAGTGAATGTGTGTGAATGCAAGAGTGCATGGGTGTTTCCCAGTGCTGGGTTGCAGCTAGAAGAGCATCCGCTGTGTAAAACATACTGTATGCTGTATAAGTTGGCAGTTCATTCTGCTGTGGCGACCCCTGATTAATAAAGAGACCAAGTAGAAAAGAAAACGAGTGAATGAAAAAAATCAGTGGATATTGTGTTTAATAATGAGTTTGTAACTAAAAATAATAAATAGAAATGTTAAAACGTTTGTTTTTCTCTAACAGCCTAAAGAGACGTCAGCGGAGTAAAATCAGCTCCTCTTTTACCAAAATCCACCATCAAACCTGCAGTCCGGAGCTCTTCTCCATCTACAGCCTGTGTTTCAGAGGAACCAGATGATCAATCCAGGTAAATCAAATCACAAATATGACCACACTTCATCCATTTTACAACTCCAAATCATAATAGAGATTAATCTGTCTGTGAAAACCAAAACATGAAGCAGTGATGGTTGAGCACATCTCACTAGCTGCTGTTTTAAATGCTCCGATGTTTAGAATTTGAATTGATAATCTCAAAATTTTTGATCAATCTGACAAACATCTTAAACAAAGATTAGATTTACTTTGTGCGTCAGTTTGGTAGAAGGTTGAATGAAGTTCACCACCAGCCTTACAGAAAATGTGGACTATTAGAGATGAAACTGAAGCTGATTTTCTTTCTTCTAGGGCATTATTAAAGAATGGGGTAACACTTTATATTGATGGTCCATTTGAGTATTAGTAGACTGTCTGCTTAAAATCTGTTGATAATAAAATCAGCTTGATATGCTCCTTCAACAGACATTTAACTGACTACAAGAAACTTTGCTAGTACATGTCAACTTACACTAACCCTAACCCAAACCTAACAATCTACTTATAATCTAATGACAAAACTCAAATGAACCATCAACTCCTCCTCCT